ATAATAATTCAGAACCCAAAAAATTTTCTCCAAGATTTCAAATCGTAAGAACAATTTCATTTTAACGTAAGCCACTTTGTCTGGACACGATAAATCAGGTTAATTTTCCCTTTGTTTAAGACCCACACAAAAATATTACCACAAAAAATTTACCTGACAATTTTTCCCTGAGGCTTCATCTTTTTTTTTTTTTAATTTTCTTTTAACGTTTATTTATTTTTGAGACAGAGCATGAATGGGGGGAGGGTCAGAGAGACAGGGAGACACAGAATTGGAAGCAGGCTCCAGGCTCCGAGCTGTCAGCACAGAGCCCGACGCGGGGCTCTAACCCGTGAACCACGAGATCATGACCTGAGCCGAAGTCGGACACTTAACCGACTGAGCCACCCAGAGGCTTCATCTTTTTATGATGAAAAAATTATTTAAAAAATTACTATTGGGGCGCCTGGGTGGTGCAGTCGGTTAAGCGTCCGACTTCAGCCAGGTCGCGATCTCGCGGTCCGTGAGTTTGAGCCCCGCGTCGGGCTCTGGGCTGATGGCTCGGAGCCTGGAGCCTGTTTCCGATTCTGTGTCTCCCTCTCTCTCTGCCCCTCCCCCGTTCATGCTCTGTCTCTCTCTGTCCCAAAAAAAAAAAAAAAAAAAAAACGTTGAAAAAAAATAAAAAATTACTATGAAATTAAACTTATAAGAAAGAAAACACATTTGCATATTTATCAATTATTCCATTCTTCTGAATTATCACAGAGCCTTAAGGATAGAAAAGGTCTTTGAATATACAGTACTACACTTCATTGTTCTAAGCTGCACACTCACATTTTAATACCCTTGAAATTGATGTATTACAACTGATGGCAACTTACAATATAACTGACAGTGTCTTCTTTTGTAGCAGTACAAAAAACAGGGGTACGTTAACATCAGTGACACCTTACATTTAATGAAATATGGTATTTGGAATCCCCAGGCAATTTCCCATCGAGGCACTAAGCAAATAAAATCCTACCTAGCTACTCTAAGAGTATGTAAACTATGCCCTTTTGGCTCCCTGAGCAGTGCCATGGTGGCTGGCAAGAACAAGTGCCTTACAAAAGTCGGCAAAAAGGGAGCCAAGAAGAAAGTTGTTGATCCATTTTCTAGGAAAGACTGGTATGATATGAAAGCACCAGCTATGTTCAATATAACAAATATTGGAGGGGCGCCTGGGTGGCGCAGTCGGTTAAGCGTCCGACTTCAGCCAGGTCGCGATCTCGCGGTCCGTGAGTTTGAGCCCCGCGTCGGGCTCTGGGCTGACGGCTCAGAGCCTGGAGCCTGTTTCCGATTCTGTGTCTCCCTCTCTCTCTGCCCCTCCCCCATTCATGCTCTGTCTCTCTCTGTCCCAAAAATAAATAAATGTTGAAAAAAAAAATATTGGAAAAACACTAGTCACAAGAACTCAAGGAACCAAAATCGCATATGATGGCCTCAAGGGTTGTATTTTTGAAGTGACCCTTGCTGATCTGCAGAATGATGAAGTTGCATTTAGAAAATGCAAGCTAATTACTGAAGATTTCCAGGGCAAAAACTGCCTAATTTCCACGGCACAGATCTTACCTATGACAAAATGTGCTCCATGGTCAAAAAATGGCAGACCAGGACTGAATCTCATGTTGATGCCAAGACTAGCAATGGTTACTGGCCTCATCTATTTTGTGTTGGTTTTACTAACAAATGCAACAATCAGATTCAGAAGACCTCTCACGCTCAGCACCGACAGGTTCACCCAATTCAGAAAAAGATGATGGAGATCATGACCCGACAGGTGCAGACAAGTGACTTGAAAGAAGTCGTCAACAAATTGATTCCAGACAGCACTGGAAAACACACAGAAAAGGCCTGTCGGTCTATTTATCCATCCCGGGATGTCTTCGTTAGAAAAGTGAAAATGCTGAAGAAGCCTAAGTTTGAATCGGGAAAGCTCATGGAGCTTCATGGTTAAGCTTCTGGAAAAGCTACTGGGGATGAGGCTGGTGCTAAAGTTGAACGAGCTGATGGATATGAGTCGCCAATCCAAGAATTTTTAAAATTAAGACATCTGATGGTGACAAAAGATCTTATTGTTTGTGATGTTTAAAAAAAAAGACTACGTGTAAACTCGGATATGTATGCATGTATACTCAGAGAGAAAATTCTTTTAAATGTGAGAAATAGGGGCACCTGGGTAGCTCAGTCAGTTAAGTATCCGACTCTTGATTTCAGCTCAGGTCATGATCTCACAGTTCACGGGTTCAAGCCCCGCATTGGGCTCTGTGCTGTCAGTGGGGAGCCTGCTTGGGATTCTCTGTCTCCCTCTCTCTCTGCCCCCTCCCCGCTTGCATGCACTCTCTCGCTCTCTCAAAATAAATGAACATTTAAAAGAAATTTTAAATAAAAAATAACACATTAGAAATAAAAGTGGTAGTGGAAGTCAGGGTAACTTCATTTCTTCATTTCTTTACTTCCTGTAATTGTATGCTTTTCGTAATAAACATGTATTCTTTAATCAAAAAAAGGCAATTTTTATTTTGGAGGAAAACTAGATGCAGTGTGCTGTTACTGTTACTGCTCTTTACATGTTCCAGAAACATTTAACAGTTCATGGAGCATTACTTTAGGATTAGTACAGATCAGTTAAGGTTTAATTCACTGTTTCAAATTGGTCAAGATCAGCATGTAAAACTACACTAACATCAATGTTACTGACACTGCAACAATTCTAAATTTCCATCTCAGGATTTTATCAAGTTAAGCTGCATGATTTTTAATATGTACGTGTGAGATCTTCCATGACAAGCTGATGAATTATTAAATAGGGCAGAAATGTTACTTCAAATCAACAGTAAGTATATGGGTTTAATTTTTTGTTGTTTAGTAGTAAATTTACACAGAATTTCACATAGAACACATATGATTTTTCTCTATGTAAAAACTAACCTAAAAACTTGCTTTGCTTATGCTTAAGACTTCCTTCTTTTTTTTAATATGTGATTTTTTAAATGTTTATTTATTTTGAGAGCGAGAGAGTGTGCATGTAAGCAGGGGAGGGGCACAGAGAGAAAGAGAGAGGCAGAGAGAGAGAGAGAGAGAGAGAGAGAGAACCCCAGTCAGGCTCTGCACTTCAGCACAGAGCTCAATGAGGCGCTGTATCTCCCATGAACCATGTGGTCATGACCTGAGCCCAAATAAGAGTTGGACGCTTAACCGACTGAGCCACCCAGGTGCCCCTAAGATCTCATTCTTTTTATCACCTCAGGGCTTAAGCTTAATAATCCTCTAAGATTTAAAACTAATAGGAAAAAAAACCTGAAAGGAGAAAATGGAATTAAACTGTCAAAGTATTTCCATGGCTTTATACTGTTCTTATAACTATAAAATACTTTAAAGAAGAAAATATTAAGTTCCCCTCATTTTTTTTCACAAGTTTTCAAAGAAAAAGCATTCTGTGCAAATCCTGAAAGAAATTAAATTTTTTTTTTTTAATTTTTTTTTTCAACGTTTATTTATTTTTGGGACAGAGAGAGACAGAGCATGAACGGGGGAGGGGCAGAGAGAGAGGGAGACACAGAATTGGAAACAGGCTCCAGACTCTGAGCCATCAGCCCAGAGCCCGACGCAGGGCTCGAACTCACGGACCGCGAGATCGTGACCTGGCTGAAGTCGGACGCTTAACCGACTGCGCCACCCAGGCGCCCCTGAAAGAAATTAAATTTAAGGCATAAAGAAATAAGACTGATTTTTATGTATATGTGTGTGGAGCGGGGGCAGGGGGACTCCAGAAGATTAAAAGCGAAATCATACCATGGACCAGAAGTACCTGTTTTGACTCTAAGCCAACAATCAATTAAAGGCTGGGTAGCTACTGCCAGCAATTACACTGACTAGATTCCAATCTTAGTGTAAACCAGCTAACTAACTGTAACTAACTTCTGTTGAGTGAAGATCCAAACTCTTCATTTAAGCAATTCTTTAATTCATGCAAGACTTTGACAAATTAAAAGGAGCTTGTAGTTATGAAGGAATGTCATGGTGTATGAGCACAAAGGGTTTTCGGGGGATAGGGAAAATGTCTTAAATAGTTCTCCAATCACCCACAGGACTGATGAAAATGTGGAAAAGGTCAAAAAACTTGGGTCAAATAGATGATTAACTGGGAGAATGAAGGTTGAAAGTTAAATGCAAGCAGCCTTATTCTCAATGAAAATATAAACATAAGGCTAGTTTCTACAAAGATGCACAATACAGATTCCTGAAACAACAAAGACCAGACATTTATTCTAATCTTTGAAGAAGCTAGGAGAAACCCCACTTGTAAGGAAAATAGTAACCCGCAGGAACTACAGCACCCACAGGCAACCAGACATAAACAACACTATGAACTAATAAAAATCACACATTCACATGCTCAAAGAAATTATGGAGGATGAAATTCACATGTAAAGATCACACGGACTCTGGCTCATCTGACAGTGTCAATAATGGTTATTGTGTCAATATTCTCAGACATTTGAGATCCCGTGACACCGGCAGAGTAACTGAATCCAAAGTGGTTTCTTCAGTGGGCCGGTGCTTTCACTCCACATGTGCTTTCTAGGAAACAAGTGTTGGCCCACCTTATTTATCAGCTGCAAACTGACTTCCAACTCCCCGGAAAACCAATCTAGCTCTAGAGAAGAGAAGAGATCTGCCAACACTAAGTATAGTCAAAAATATAACTCCAGGTCCCAACAGCAACTCCCAAAAGTGGTCTTTAAAAAACCAGAAAAACAAAACCAGATCAAAAATCCTTTAAGAAAAGTGACTAGTCTAAGGTGACTAGTTTGGAAAAGACAATATTCACTTGTATACAAAGTAGTAGTGAATAGATTAGAAAATGTCACTGTAACCAAGTGCAATGAACATGTAAGTATGGTTTGTAGACTTTCAAACACACCCAGAAAAACGTACAGTTACCGAGGTTTTTATAAGCATATATTAAATATACTTACACAGTAGCTCTTCAGTCTGATGAAATCTACAGTCATAGGAATGGATCCATCACTATTTCTGTTCAGTGCTTTGATATAATCCAGCAGGTCAGCAAAGAATTTATAGCCCCCCTTGAGCACACAGAGGGCTACGATGTGATGGCCACCCATCTCCTTCAACACATCTCGGGCAAGACGCTCGGTCCTAGAGAAGTATCAGGAATTTAATAGAAATTAATTTACAATATAATAGAAATATATTTAGCTTTATAACAAACATCCCCTTTAGGCATTAAACTTGCACCAAAAACATCCTTTATGAAGTTGCTTCATAAAGTAAAGATAAACTTCAAAATACAGTTATACTGTAACATCTATCATAAATATTTAAGGGGCGCCTGCGTGGCTCAGCCGATTAAGTGTCCGACTCTTGGTCTCAGCTCAGGTCATGATCTCACGGTTCATGGGTTCGACCCCCGCATCAGGTTCTGAGCTGACATCGCAGAGCCTGCTTGGGATTCTCTCTCCCTCGGTCTCTGCTTCTCCCCCACTTGCTCTCTCTCTCAAAATAAATAAACAAACATTAAAAAAATAAATATTTAAAATGCAATTTAAAATACCATTGTCACCTATCAGAATGGCAAATTCTGATTAAATGAGATTTCCCTGATAATAGGCAATATTGTAAGAGACTGCGAAAAAGAGCACTGTCGTATACCACTGTGAGTATAAATTAAAACGTTTTGGAGCATAATCTGGTGGTATCAGAAGCATTCAATAAATACCTTCCCCTTGACCCAGATTTTCCCCATGGATAAAGCTGAAGCAAGTGACCAAATGTGTATAAGAAGATGTTCCCTTCTAGTATGGTCTGTAAAATAATGGTGATGTCTTGCATGTCCGTCAATAAAGGACTGCTTAAATCAATTATGGTACAGTCAGAAAATGGAATGTTATGCAACCTTCAAAATATAGGATAGCTCTAACCATACTAGTATGAAACAGTGCCCGATAAATTTCAGACCTGTATGACAGTACCACCTTCAAAATATAGGAGAAAGCTCTAAATATACTAATATGAAAACATCTCCAATACACTTCAGACCTATAGGATAGTACATGCCTATGTGTTAAAATATATGCAGTTGGCTCTTGGACAACACAGGTTTGAACTGCACACACAAGTCCACTTATACATGGATTTTGTTATAAATATCATACTATAAATATATTTTCTCTTCCTTATGATTTTATTAATGACATATTTTCTCCAGCTTACTTTATTGTAAGAATACAGTATATAACACATATACAAAATATGTGTTCATCAACTATATGTTATCAGTGAGACTTCTGGTCAACAGTAGGCTATTAATAGTTAAATTTTAAGGGGAGTCAGAAGTGATACACAGATTTTGACTGCGCAGATGGTGGCATCCCTAACCCCCACATTGTTCAAGAGTTACTGTACATATATTTGCATACAGCATATGTGCATAGCCAGTGTGTACGAAGGACTATGCAGGAGGCTGAGAAGAAGAACTCTACTCATTTAAAGCCTCAATCCTTAGAATATTTTACAACAGCTATATATTGATAGTATAACCTTAAAGTCAAAAACAAAATAGCCACACAAGGCAAGCATTTAAATACCAAGTAAGGTCTCTCACTGCAATTCATTTAAGGGGAACTTTTCAAGCTAGACATGCATAATAGTCAAAACATTACCTTCCCCTCCTGTGATTTAGCCCCAGCCCATTATCCTGTTCAAGGCTGAGCAATCAAAGACTGTTACTAGAGTTCATTCCTCCAATGTCCCTTCAATGTTTACTTTATTCTACTCCCTACAGATTCCCAGTATACCATGACTTACACTGGGTAATTAGCTCTCCCCCCAACTTTTTTTGTAAAGAGGGCTCTAAAACAGAAAACCTCTATTATTCGACAAGCTGGCCTAGTTTATGTTCAAACATCAATGCCTTAAAACAGTTGCTGACACTTGAAATAGAAAATTAAGAAAAAACAGAAATAGAAATTAAAAAAAAAAACCAAAAACTTCAATTTAAGATCTTACTAACCTGTCCATAATTAGTCCATGAGGAATAAACACCTTTTCCAAATCCTCAGCGTAATGATGAGGTATACAAAATAAATCTAGGTCATAACCTGGTTCATCATCACTAATCTGAAAAAGAAATATGACTGTTTCAGTGACAGCATTATACGACTGAATTTAGATGTTAAAAAACCTTAGCCTATGAGAGAAATTTAGGGGCGCCTGGGTGGCTCAGTCGGTTGGGTGTCTGACTTCGGCTCAGGTCATGATCTCACAGTTCGTGGGTTCAAGCCACGCATCAGGCTCTGTGCTGACCGCATACTCAGAGGCTGGAGCCTGCATCCGGATTCTGTGCCTCCTTCTCTCTGCCCCTCCCCCGCTCATGCTTTGTCTCACTCTGTTTCTCAAAAATAAATAAATGTAAAAAAAAATTTTTTTAAATAAAAATAAAAACAAAAAAAAGAGAAATTTAGGTATGAGACATCAAGAATTTTCTGTAACTTTGTAGGTATGACAATGAATTATAGTTATATAAGAAATGAACTGTATGCTTTAGAGATGAATAGTTAAGATTGTATCAGTAAAATGACATGTATGAAATTTCATTTAGCTCCGCAAAGAGAAAACGAAAAACTTTAAAGAGTTAAGACAAATGTAGCAAAATCTTGATAACATTTTAAACATGGCTGATGAGCATATGGGGATTCAGTATACTATTCTCTCCACTTTTGAGTATGTTTGAAATTTTAGTAAAAACGATTTTAGTAACACTGTAGAAAAAAATTTTCATACACTGTAGTCTAACAAGTTAAAAAATCATACAGAACAAAAGCTGTTGTTTCCTACCCCAAATACAAACAGCCTCTCTCACCTCAGAGTAGGGGGAAAAAAAAAATCACCAAGAAAGCTAAGTGATTTCTTAAAAACCCAAACTCTTAGAAGTCTGAGATTGTTATAATCAATCCATGAGGTGCCTTCCTAGCAGATACTCCACGATTGCTTGAGTAGAACCATATTTGGCTGTCTTCGTATGCCCAATAGCTGGCATACAAACTATTGAATAAAACCGATGATGTGGTACCTGTGGTGGTAAAATGTACTATGATTATAGTTTTATAAATATTATACATGTACCTATACAGAAAAAATATAATAAAATCATAACAGCTATTATCTTGGGGAAGAGAGTTATAGTGATTTTACTTAGTTCTTTATACTATATATTGCAAATTTCCTTCATTGAGTATATACTGCTTTTTAAAAAAATTCAGTAGTCTTTCTTTTAAATTATTTGTGGCATTATGTGTTTTTTTTACACACATCTAAAAAGTACAGGAATTCTGAAAGATGTATGAAAGTAAAATCTACAAACAAAAATTCTAATCCCAAAAAATAAAAAAGAAGTGAGGAGGGGAAGGGAGAGGGAACAAAGGAGGAAAGGAAGGAGTGGAAGAAGGAAGAAAGGGTGGGTGGGCATGAAGGAATATACCAAACAGTGGTCAACTACAAGAAGGGGGAACTCGCTGAGTTGCACACTTTAATATTGACCTGGCCTTTTCTTTCATTGTCGATTTCACTTTTTTTTTTTATCATAGGTGATTTATAATTCCTACTCATCATTATATTTAAAATTCAAAGAAATAGGGGCGCCTGGGTGGCGCAGTCGGTTGAGCGTCCGACTTCAGCTCAGGTCATGATCTCGCGGTCTGTGAGTTCGAGCCCCGCATCGGGCTCTGGGCTGATGGCTCAGAGCCTGGAGCCTGTTTCCGATTCTGTGTCTCCCTCTCTCTCTGCCCCTCGCCCGTTCATGCTCTGTCTCTCTCTGTCCCAAAAATAAAGAAACGTTGAAAAAAAAATTAAAAAAAAAAATTCAAAGAAATAAACCAGTTATAATACTCTACTTCACATGATATTCAAGACTAAATATCTTCCAAACCACATTCAAGAAGATGATGATAAGAGCTTTGGCAGTTTTCAAGAAATACTGGTCAAACCATAATTAAATCTCAAAGTATCAGCAAACATCTATTGAACACCTTTCCGTCAGCACTATGTTAGATGCTTAAGGACAGGTAGCTAGGCTTTCAATAAATTTTAAAAATACATACTTAAGATTTATAATATTATTCACAGAATTCATAATTATATTCTGAAAAATCTGAGGTTCGTGTTACTTTTTCTGTCCCAAAAGGTCAGTTTTGAGTTCTCCAGACTTGGGTGGAATTTTAGGTATTGTTTTATCCAGCTGGTGTTACCTTCACACCATTTCCACCTATGCACATGGCCAGGAAGCTGGCAGTGATTCAGGTAGGTGGACCAGGACATGAACACGGGCACGGCCCTGTGGCATGTAGTGCCCAGGCACTCGCTCGGCAGCCAGTTTGAGGGTGGTAGGAAGTCAGTACTAACTTGTTTTTAAACCAACACATATTACTTTCATACACAGCAAGAAAAATTATATTTTTGGGGAAAAAAGATGATGCCAGATCTTAAGATCTGGCATAAAGTACTAATGTGTCTGCTAAACATTCACATCATGTGTATTTCAGAACACTTTCACTACAAAAAGAATGGAAATGGGACATTTGTGTCCCCTATAGGAACATTTCTAAAATACTTTCTAACAAGCAAATATTACTTTTCTAAATTTTATAAACTGAAACTCAGTTCAAGTTTTGGGAAAAGACAGACCTTGCTAGATCCTACGAGATGAGAGGATAAACATTCAAGTCTGGCTCAGAATATATCTGCTATTACCTGACAAGAATGAAAATGTACCACTTTAACTGCTTTAACACTAAGAAGATCCAGAAAACCAAACTGGCTTCCCTGAAGGTTACTCACCACTTCTACCAACTTACTCACTGCTCCGCACAAGCATAAACCAGGACCCACCCGGGACTCTTTGAAACATGCAACATTTATAAAGCCTATAGCTTCTGTGAAAATGGCTCAGTGCCTGGCTATAGGTTTTGCAGGCAGCCTAAGAACTTCATGAGTCTGATTTGTTTCAATCAAAGTCAATGTGAATTCTGCCCAGAGTTCATCCTAGACATGCAGTCTAATATAGACAGAACAGCTGGGATGCACACCAAAATAGGAATTCTACCTCTGTCAAAATACCAAATTAATTTCTAATTCAAAAGTTTCTATTTTCAATCAATACTATTAGATTTATAAATCACATTTAATGTCAAAGGGTTGATTTGTGATTATATGAGAATATTACAAAAAATTACATGCCAACAAACTGGACATTCTAGAAGAAGTGGATAAATTTCTAGCAACATATAACCTCCTAAAACGGAATCAGGAAATAGAAAATTTGAAGAGACCAATTACCAGCAATGAAATTGAATCACTAATCAAAAAACTCCCAACAAACAGAAGTTCAGGACCAGACGCCTTCACAGGTAAATTCTATCAAACACGTAAAGAAGAATTAATACCCATTTTTCTCAAACGATTCCAAAAAACAGAAGAGGAAAGAAAACCCGAATTGCTTCCATGAGGTCTGCATTACCCTGATACCAAAACCAGATAAAGACACTACAAAAAAAGAGAACTACAGGCCAATATCTCTGATGAACACAGATGGAAAAATCCTCAACAAAATATTAGCAAACCAAATCCAACAATACATTTAAAAAATCATTCACCACGATCAAGTGGGACTGATTTCTGGGATGCAAGGGTGGTTCAATATTTGCAAATCAATCAATGTAATACATCACATTAGTAAGAAAAAGGATAAAAACCATATGATCATTTCAATAGATGCAGAAAAAGCATATGACAAAGTACAACATCCATTCTTGATAAAACTGTCAACAAAGTAGTTTTAGAGGGAACATACATCAACATAATAAATACCATATATGAAAAACCCACAGCTGGGGCGCCTTGGTGGCTCAGTTGGTTAAGCATCTGACTTCAGCTCAGGTCACGATCTCACCGTTTCTGAGTTCGAGTCCCGTGTCGGACTCTGTGCTGACAGCTCAGAGCCTGGAGCCTGATTCAGATTCTGTGTCTCCCTCTCTCTCTGCCCCTCCCCTGCTCATGCACGCTCGCTCTCTTTCTTAAAAATAAATAAACATTAAAAAAAAACCCACAGCTAAAATCATACTCATGGTGAAAAACTGAGAGCTTTTCCCCTAAGGTCAGGAAAAAGACAAGGATGTCCACTCTCACCACTTTTATTCAACACAGTACTGGAAGTCCTAGCCACAGCAATCAGACAAGAAAAATGGAATAAAAGGATTCAAATTGGTAAGGAAGAAGTAAAACTTACACTATTTGGAGATGACATGACACTATATGTAGAAAACCCTAAAGACTCTACTGGAAAAACAACTAGAACTTCAGTAAGGTCGCAGGATACAAAATCAATGTAGAGAAATCCATTGCATTTTTATACACTAATGATGAAGTAACAGAAAGAGACACTAAGAAAGCAATCCCATTTACAACTGCACCAAAAATAATAAAACACCTAGGAATAAACTTAACCAAGGAGGTGAAAAGATCTGTACTCTGAAAACCATAAAACACTGATGAAAGAAACTGAAGACAACATGAACAAATGGAAAGATATTCCATGCTCATGGATTGGAAGAACAGATATTGTTAAAATGTCCATACTACCCAAAGCAACCTACACGTTTAATGCAATCTCTATCAAAATACCAACAGCATTTTTCACAGAACTAGAGCAAATAATCCTAAAATTCATATGGAACCACAAAAGACCCTGAATAGCCAAAAAAAAAAAATCTTGAAAAAGAAAAGCAAAGCTTGGAAGTATTATAATTCCAGATTTCAAGTTACACTACAAAGTTGTAGTAATCAAAATAGTATGATACTGGCACAAAAATAGACACCTAGATCAATAGAACAGGATAGAAAGCCCAGAAACAAACCCACGATTGTATGGTCAATTAATCTTCAACAAAGCAGGAAAGAATATGCAATGGGAAAAAGTCTCTTCAAAAAATGGTGTTAGGAAAACTGGACAGCCACATGCAAAAGAATGAAACTGGACTACTTTCCTACACCATACACAAAAATAAACTCAAATTGGATTAAAGACCTAAATGTGGGGCCTGAAACCATAAAAATCCTAGAAGAGA